AAGAAATTAGGCAACTAATTGACTGGTGTGCCAGGACACAGTTTGGCATTTATAGGTTGCTTTGGGCAATGGGAATTTGACATTGGGAAGCTATTATTTGGAAGTCACTCGAGTAAATCATTGCATTGTTCCATATACCACCAACAAATTACCAAAGCAACCTTTTTTGATTAAACTGTATAAAATAAAACATGTCGCACAATTTACATCAATGTAGAGTCACTGTTTTTACTTCCCAACAGCGATTAATCAAACATCCAGCAGTCTTGTTAATGTTTCACAAACACTTTCTTTTCCGCAGAAATTAATGCTCTCCAAACAAAAAACAAAGGTAAGATTAAGGGTCTTTACACCAGTAAACAACACTTAAATCACAATAGCTAAGATAATTAATTGAAAGTGATACAATAGCAAAAACAATTAGCTTACATTATTATAAATTGTATTTTGTTCTATATCACAACTGGAAACACAATTAAAATATGGCTTCGGCCCAAGCAGCCCGTGAGCGGTTATTCAGAGATTTATCTACCCTGGCCGGTCCATGGTTCTACTCGGTCGAACTAGAAGAACACAGTTTCCCTTTTGTAAACTGTAGTTTTAGTAACTGCCATCTTCCGCCTGAACTGTATTTACGTTGGTTGTAAGAAGGGGTTTAGGGCGACGAAAAAGCGCAGAAACAAGCGAGACACTATACACCATGTGAACGTTGCATACACTTTAAAGATGGTAAGCTAAAATAGCATTCATTTCAACAAAGCATAAATAAAAGTCGACTTTCAAAAGCAACAGTACTTGACTCGGGTTACAGTCAATTCAAGAGGATTCGCTTAATGAGCTAGAGTGAAATTACAGCCTTCTGAAAACCGCGCAGGACGCTGCAACCGTGATATGCAAGCATAGTGCAGCAGAAGCTATGATTAAGAAGATGGAAAATCATCAACTCTTCATCGAACAGCAATAATATTCTTTTGAGATCAAAAACTTTATTTATTTATAGGCCTTTCTCACATGTAAACAACGTATGGTAAAACTATTTAAATGTATGTACAAATAACTGATATAACAGATAACAAGAATCCCTTAGTTCACTAAATAATCACTTACTATTTATACACATTGCTGTTTAGAGCTTGGCACAATCCCAATATTCATTTCCTCATGAATGTGTTTTGACAGACAGTCACAATACATTCAAATCCACACTTGGGCCCAAGGTTTAGGAAAGATAATACACAAGAAATCATCTCGAGGCAATAAAAAAATTTAAGATGCCAGGTTCGCCGACCGAAAAAGAATATAGGACGACTTTTATTACCAAAACGTAATGACCATGAATTTGAGATGCGTTTTTTTGTTGCCTATACTTTCCTCCAGATGTAGTCACGTGATAATTATGGAGCATTGATTTGATGCCTTATCATCAGACCTTTTGAAATGGGAGGTTGAATCTTCGGGAAGACTTACAATCACATCCCGCAACAGATAAAAAATGCAAGATGGGAGTTGGGTATAAGTTGTAAGTTTAGCACAAGGGCAGATGCAAACTGTCTATAGGTCTAAGGATGGAAACACAAAAAGCCAAAAGGAGTAAATGTTACAGGCTCAAAGTAATGAAAAAGAAGATATCCTTGAGAAAAATGCGTCTTCATTTTCATTTTTAGATTGAGATTATCACAGCTCAGTTTGCAATGAGTAGAGGAAGGATCACTAGGTAAATATAATCATGACATTTTTTCTAAAATGAATTAGAAATCCTCTTAATACTACGTTAACTGACACACAACAATGTTTTCACCACGAACTTGAGGGTACTGTACTGCTAGAGGTGAGTTCCTTTACAAGGGAAATAGTTTAAGGGGTCCTAAACTACCAGCTACTTACACAGGTTCTCTTGTGACGTGGACTAGAAGAAGAGGTAGAAGAAGCAAATGACCTTCACTGCACCTCTACTGGTACATTACCATAGCTGCAATACCTATCGCAGCTCATTAACTATGTGCTCAGATTTTTTTATAGAAGCACAGGCCTCCATAGATTTAAATCAATTGGGCCTTGTGAAGAAAGCCAAGAGGCCACAAAGAAGTACAGAATATAGATTCATATCTAATGGTAGACGGAACACATGCAAACCGAAAAAAGAGGTTGAGACTATCATCTAAGAGGCCCCTCCACGAAAGAGGTAAGGATTGTCAATTTATATTGAAGGATAAAAAAAAAGAGTCTGTGTGCCGAACTTACGGTAGACTATTATCTGCGGACGTTCATAAATCTTTTATCAACGTAAAGTCACGCAATGTTAAAACCAGCAAATAATGAAAGGCCCTTTGCTGTATTTTCTCATTGGAATATTAATCATTTTCTAAATCTGGGGTGATAAAGGGTGATTGCTTCTATTGCAGTATATTAGCTCTGTGTAAACCTCCCACCCTTCTCTACCTACAGCATATAGAGAACATAGTACTTCAAAGTGTATGTGACCAAAAAGCCACCACAAGTGAACACGTTCTTGAGGAACCTGAGAGTGTAGAGATTGCATAGGCTCCTACTAGCTCACCTATAATTTTGGATGTGAAGTTATCACTCGAGGAGTCTTATGCTGCAGTCAGTGGGTACCCAAACACTTGTTTCCTTTGGTCTTTGTGACCAGGACACAACCTGAACCAGACCTTTTTGATAAGGAAGACTTGTTCTTTAACACTAAAGAATAACCAAGCAGTGATTCTAGGAGTATTTAAACGCATCTCCTCACGAGGACCCATCTTACATCCCATCGAAAAATGATAAAAGTGATGACAATGAGGAGGAAGAAGTTTCAATGGCAGCACCATCAAGGTTAAAGCTCAAAATCCTCAAAATGACACCAAATTAAAAGTATTTATGGAACAAATGGATGAACTTTTGCATCCATGCCCCACATGTGGGGCAGTAGTAGTAAGCAAAAAAGAAATGTCCGCTCAGGGAGGTCAAATATGTGTTACCCTTAAATGTAAAAAGGGGCACAAACACTTGGAAGAGTAAACCCAAGCTCAAAGGGATGGCTGCTAGAAATCTACTACTGCCTTCAGAAATTCCACAAAGTGGAGTAACATACACAAAAATGGCATTGTTATCTGAAATTGTGAACTTAAAAATTTCAGGGAAGAGGCAATTTACAACATTCAAAACATGACCTTATTTCCTGTTATTAATGAGGCTTGGGAGACAAAACAAAATTCTGTTTCCAGTGAGCTTCAATTTGAAGACCTTTGGCTGTCTGAAGATGGTAGGTATTACAGTCCTAGACACAGTGCTTAATATGGTACATACCCTGTAATTGATCAACTCATTAACAAGATTGTTGATTTTTAAATCGTTCAGGTTAGTGAGGTGACCAGGAGCAATGGAATGGAAAGAAAGGAGTAGTAGGGCTTCAGCAAAGATAAGCCCCATTGGTGTCTTCCTGTCTTCCCTTAATTAATATGTGTAAGGGTCGGGTCTATGACGTCACCCATTGTTTTATCCTAGAGAAAAAAATGGGTTCCTCCATATTAATTTAAGTGCCTAGTCATTGTCTTCCTGCATACTAATTCGGTATAGGTTTACTAATGAGCGTCACTCTACTTCAATAGGAACAATAGGCTTGCTTAGACTTACCCGGGCTCTTTTAACCCTGATTGGCTCATGTAGAATCTATTATGTGTTTAACATAAAAGCACACTTTCTCTTCTGCATTTTATTCTTGCAATCGCTTTGCTAAGGAAAAAAGTCTACTATCACCAATATTTTTTAAAACATTGCTCCAACCATGTAAGTCGCATCGAGCGCTACACAGCTTCTGACAGTAGATGAGGTGGAAAAAGTCCAACGTCAACGGGTAGCTAGCCTTATTGCACATGTTCCAACTGACTCATGCGGCTACGGTTGACAAACTCACTCAAGAAGAAAAGATGAATCGCTGCCACGGTTGTGCTATTCAACACCCAAGTCAAAACCAACATTCTTGTCTGATGATGGATAACGATGACGCATGGATGTATTACCATGATGAAGTGGTGGAACAAATTGACCTCAATGTTATCTTGAAAACGGCTGAAAGTGTGTGCAGTGCTCTTGGTTTCAAACTTGGCAAAACTTGGGAAGTGTACGTGACCGAATTACCAAAGTTGCCTTGGACTAGCATCTATCTCACTTCCTTGGAACTCGAAGATTATGGTGAGCTAGAAGATCGAATTCTGTATGCTATTTACTATGGACCTTGTGTACGGAAGTGCAAAGATCCCAGTGCTGTGGAAATTGACAGCCAAGATGAAGTGCAATGCCCTGATAGAGTTGTGAGGAAAGATGAACAACCAATGGACCTTGACTTGATAATTAATGACATTCAAAATAAGCTTTGTTTCTAAAAGTAGTAGAAATGGCTACGTGATCACTGTTATATGGGCCAAAGTTAAGCTTACACCGTGGTACTCAAATGTATATTGATTTGTACTCAATTATTTACAGGTCAATAGCACCTTTTTTGTTTAACACACTAACTTTCATTAAGTGTTAGTCTTTGTTTAAGTGTAAATTAATGTCATGTCGTCAAATTTGAGAATAATTATGCGGGTCACTTTTGGCGCAATTTTTACAACCTTGTGCCTCAAATCTCTGTACAAGGAAATGGTGTTCTATATTGTAAAGGTTTTCTGGGTATTTTCTGAGGGAAATATTTTCCTATCGTGGACTCAATAAACGTGCATCCATTTCTGAAAGTTATCTTTTGTTTAATGTGTCAAGCTATGAAAAGTAGATATATCTTTTTATCCTAAATGACCGAATATATGGTAGGTTTTTATTAAATGTAATCTATTTAGCTGGAGATACACATCGAGCACCAAAGGCTACGAAACGAGTGAACATTAGGATTATTCCTTTAACCCGCGTTGCTTAATTCTATTCTTTGGCTGTTAATATTTCTTAGGGAAGGTAATATTAAATGTCTTAAATGATTTTACAGAACTTACAAAACAAACAAAATGTCTTTGCTGTTGGTATATACCACCATACTGACCTTTTTGGTTTGTGTCGGTGGGAATGTATGCATCATACTACAGTGCAACTGTAATCATATAACTGACACCATAGACTGTTCAATCCTTGGTTTACATTCAGTTCTGTACTCATCCGATAGCGACAACTCTACACAGTTATTACTACCACACAACTACTTACAGCATTTTAACATCTGTCTACTCATGGCGCATTTATCAATGGTTAAAGTAATTGGTTTATGTGACAACGATCCACTGCTATGTGTAGATTTAGCTCGCCAAAGAGCACCACATGGATTGACTATTCTCTCTAACTGTCGAAATACAATCAGCTGCACACCCAGCAGGGAATCGAACAGAAACTGGACAACAACACAACCATCTGACTATCGAGTGACAACCACTGAAAAATCATCCATCAAATCAACAGTAATCAACGATCCTACAAATAAACACACTGCGTTAATAGTCCATAAAGGAAAATCGTCAACCACACTTGTGTATATTTACTGCCTGATTTCTACTATTTTGATTATACCGACGGGGATAATTACAATCCGATGGATCATGCCGTGTTGGAAATCCAGACGACAGACCAGGAACTCGCCACCCATGTCGCTTCAGTTATCCCCATTGAATGTTGACTCTGATTCCGACAATGATGAAGAGAACTTGATTTTTGTGCGAGCAAGTACCTCAGTATGATGAGATTTGTAATATCGAATCGCCGATTGGATTCCAAAACATGTTATGTTATTGTTTTGTTGGTATTATTAGCACGTCCTTCAAAACATTGTTAGACGCTACCTCATTTAACCAACAAGTAGCGAGATTTCGCTAAGGTTATTGTCGAATGTTCTTTCTAATAGAGGGAATAATTACAAAACTTTGTTCATGTTTGTTGCCAATGTACAGGGAAGCGAAACCACTTAAATCCTGTGGGTTTTAAGTAATCGTAAGCTTATGATAATTTTAGTTATGTTACACACAGAAACCATATTTATTCTTTAACACGGTTTCAAAAGAAATAAATAAACTGCTTTGTGTTCTCGCCTGGTTCCAGAGGTTCACGTTTATATTTCCGACTCAAATAATTGCAAGGCCGCGAAAAAATTAGCCATGAAGTGAATACAATGTGTTTGTCGACAAATTATTATCCAATTAACTCCCACTGACAGTAAGTCCAAGCCTGATTAAACAAGCCATCATCAATACACAGACGATGAAGTTATTTTCGATTCAAAAGATACAAAACAACGGCACTCCAAAACCTAATCATTTTAACCTCTAACTTAACTATCGCAAAAATATTTATCACTTAATTACCCACTAGTCGCCAGAAGCTGATAACTCGGCCCTGAGACACGTGAAGATTATTTTGACAATAAATAAGTTAATTGATAAGTAGAGCAAACAATTGTTTTACAAGGAAGAGTAAATGTGATCAATTATATTGAGTATGGTTAAATTTAAACGACGCTTTTGTTTATGTGTAAAGAAGGATTGAAGCAAAGTTTTACCGTCCTCAGAGTAAAGTTAGATATTTTTGATTCACTTAGTAAAACCAAAGATATCCAGACAGTCATTACATCTCGATTTGTATCTGGGGTGACTTTGTAGGAATGTTTACGCAAGGTCGGTAGTATGCAGTAGAGCGAAACGTGACGTAACTAGACTCCGAGACTGGGCAAGAGTTGTATCGAGTGTGAGTCGGAGACTGGACACAAGTTGTTTCAAGTGTAGCAACGACTATATTTGCTAAATTTTGTATCGTCGTTTGATTTACATTCTGTTTGGAAGAACATTTATCAAGCTTTCAAACGCAAATTGATTGCAGTTTTCAAGGTGAGACATTTTTAATTTCCAAATCGTTCTACTGTGACCGATGATCTGTTTAATAAATTTAGAAAAGATCTAATTCTTTGTTTATTTCATTTCCTGGTCATTCTGCTGTTATGTTTATTATAACATCAGATGTTATGTTTATTATAATATCAGATGTTTCCTTTCATCAATATTAAACTGTGCTGATCTGTGCTGAGTTTCAATCGAACTCCTATTGGAACAATAACTATTAACTAAAAGTTTGTTCATGTTTGTTCAAGTAATGGCAGGTAACTGTTAGCGAGATATATTGTTGTCTTGGTCAAAGTGATAGAAGAGATGAAATGTTTCTCACTTGAATTTGGTTCATCCGTGTAATCTGTGGTGTTATAAATTGCTTTACAGATTTATGGGTATTTTTTCCCCTATCATTAATAAGTAAGCCACTAAGTAGGGAAATGTTTCGACTCTTCTCTGTGTCAGATAACCACTTTAACTTTTGGTTGTAGTTTAGCCTCTTGAAGGTATTTTCTCCGCTGAGTATGATCCAGCTGATGAACATCTGCGAGATGGTTAGCTAGTCTTACAAGGTACTTTGCACCACATCCTGGAATCGGACAATCTCTACAAATCTTTTGTAGATCGTATTCACAGTTCGACGGCAAGGCACAACTGACGGTTTTCAGTGAGAACACTTTGATTTATAGAAAAATTGTTTTAGGTTCCACCTCTTTTTCATACACACGAACCATGCTGGTATTCTGTAATTTAGCGAACTGTAGCCAATATTTTCTCTCTAAGTCAGACAGCTCATGTACCTGAGCCAAATGGTTTGCTAATCAAACTAAAAATTTAGACCCACAGCCGGGAACAGGACAAGGCTTGCATTTTAGTTTTTTCATATTAACGGTACGAAAGCAGACTTTAAAATGAATAAATCTATTTGCGACACGAAATTTATCGTTTATTTTCGAGGGCACAACGGGCACCTTTTTAGCCCTGTGTTTTTTCCCCTGGGCGCGCGTGGAGATCTCACGTGTAAGTCATGCGTGTCGAATCAGGAAACAAGCCACGATTAAATTCGACCAATGATTTATTTACAAACTAATTTCCTATGTACAAACATCCGTAAAAAGCTAGGCAAAAATACTACTTACAACTAGAGGCGATCTTATGTAAATATTTCGAAAAACTAGTTTTGAGAGTAATATATGTACAAACTTGAGAAAACGAAAATTATTTACAAAATCAATTTTTACAAACTTGAAAACTTAAATGTCGAGTGCAGTTTTGCTAACTCCATCTGAGAGAACTTTACGTTTGGGATAAAAATACGAGAAGGCATCCGTAAGTTGCTCATAAGTGTACATCGTGTTGTTAACAACACGAAAACCCCTGTTAACACCTGAACTATTCTGTTTTGTGAGCAACACTTGTAAATACTTGTCTTTGTTAATCCCCCTACATTTCTTGTTGACTCCTTTGCAAGAAAACTTATCTTTGGCCCCAAAACAGTATTAGGTTTTTGAACAAAACCCGATAAACTTGATCGGAGATACATCGTGACGTGATTGGCAAAACATCGACGGAATCATTGGTATAGTTAATAAGATGCAAAGGAAGATTATATTTGTGATTGAGTTTGAAAATGAAAAAATCAGGGACATTTAAAATGTCCTTGAAGGTGTGCATGCACCATGACTAAAAACATTTTAAAACGTTGTTCGGGGTTCGCGGGTTTTGAACAAGCAATCTATACAACTTAGACTTACCTGTGCGCTATAGTACCTACACTACTGCGAACCCCTTGTAAAAAGATTCACAAAATTGGTTATTGACTTTTATTCAGAAGTAGTGGCTCCTAAAGGAGCCGGGTTTTTTATGGTTCGTTCCTTTAATGAGGAAACGTGGTGACGATAGTAAACTGATCACCGTCGCAAGGTCGGCAGGTATAAAAAATACCAATGTGTTTGGTAAACTGTTCAGCTTCGATCGAGTATCCGATGATCTGATCCACATTAAACTTGTAAAGATAAAACTCGCCATGACGATAGTTGAATCCTTCTTTAACGATTTTGTAATCGGAGCTATCCTGAAACGTGAGCTCTGTCAAATGAAGTAACGCCTTGGTTAAATTAAAATCCCGGTAAACTGGGACTTGGAATGTGTATACATTTCACAGTGGTGGTATTTGTTAATGTGATTGGCACTCCATAAGGTCAGGATCGCGGACTCCGTTTCGGCGGGAAGGGCGTAGAAATCAGAGCTGGTTTCAAGAATTGCTTCTTTAGCCATGTTTGCAATAATGTGAATAAAACCGTTGAGAACTTTTAAACAATCGTATGTAAATTTGCGCAAGTTGAAATTGTTTGATCCACCACTCGGAGCGCGTCCTATGTTAAATTGCGCAACATTCAGTCTTTCATCCACCACGCCTTTACGTACACTTATTGTGTAGGCTAGGCATTAAAGAACACGTTTCATAGTCAGCATTCAGTCTGAATGAATACACGCGTTGCTGCTCTTACGTTATGCCAAGATGGAAACACTTCAAGAATTAGCACTGAAAGCCGTTCCTTTCCCCGGAAAACAAGCAGAGATGTTTCTGCCACCACATCATCCCATTACCAAAAAACTCCACGCACTGGATTATCAGCCGATGAGGTATAAATTCCGACAGGAACATCGAGTGAAGTTCAGGCATGTGTTACCTTACATAAGAAAATTACCGCTCATTTGGCAAATCGCTTACCCTTAAAAAATTTGTGTTTTTAGACTGGCAATGGATGAGATTTCGATTCTACATGATTTGACTCCCAGCAATTGGCCTGTAAAACTCTGCCTCTACTTACTTCAATTATTGCGGTGTGTTTTCAAGAATTGGATGAAATGATTCAAGTCTCGCAACATGAACGACTCTCTCTATTTCATGTCTACGTCAATCTTTATAAACGTATCAATTTGTTATAGGACAATTTGTACAAAGACCAGTTTGTTCTTCAAGTGATTGGATTTCACCAGAAAGAAGCCCTTCGTTTCAGCGTTTTTGACTGATTAGACAACCACCAGTATGCATTCCTTGTAGACGTATTAATGTGTTAGTGAAAACGATTGACGGTTTGGTGCGTAAAAGAATGGGCAAACCACAATATCTTTTAAGAGATGAATTTAGAAAACTTGAAAGATTATATAACAATAAGCCCGTACTACAATATGACTATGAACTAAGACGTGCTTACTTGGCGCCACCGCTATAGTCAAAGAAGGTTTGATGTTTCTGACTTATAGGCATTCCCTGAATGAAGTGTTAGCCAGGCATATTTGTCCTTCAACGCATTGGATTTGTTAAGGAGACTCTTCTCTCGCGTCAATTAGTTTGTGTTCATGCGCGCATTGCCGAAGAATTAACGATCTGGAATTAACCCTAGATGGACTAGTGCACTTAAGAATGGGCAACCGTCCTTTAAGAAATGAATTTAACCGACTTGAAAAATTATATCAAAACAAACCGGCTTTGGATTATAATTACTTTTTAAGACGCACTTATAACATTTTGGGTTTTTATTAATTTTAGTGGTGTATTAACACAAATTCAAGAATCCGAGGTGTGCGATTTAACAGATTGGGTGGAATTGAAAGGAGATTATTGCTGCAGACATTGCTTTAGAGTGAAATTGTTTGCACTCACCATGGACGGAAAAATTAAGCGTTCCCGTTTTTTATATGACAGAAACATGGATATGAACTTTTATGGGCAACAAATGTTATTACTTAATTCACTTTATTTTCCGTAACGGTGTGTGACCTGACCGATTGTGCTAGAACAGAAGGACATTTCTTTTGTTTGCATTGTTAAGGCTTAAAATTTTTACGTTGCACCA